CTGCTGATGGATGCAGAAGCCATCTTGTTTCCGGGATTCTTTGGTCCAATTGTGTTGTCTGGATATTGGTTGTCGCTGTCTGGATATTGGTTGTCGCTGCATTTATGATAAGAGCATGATCTCTTCCTCCATTAGCGGTTGGTGAGCTTGATTGTGAGTTCATTATTGCCGCTCTAATTAAAGAAGATAGTGCTTTGAATGAAAAAAGATGTGCTTTGCCACTGCCACTTAGTAAAGTTGAATTTTATTTATAGAAGTGACCATTATGGAGCCTGAACCTTCCTGGAAATTTGTTGAATTTTAATTTTATTTATTTTCTTCCTGGAATTTTATTTTATTTATTGTAGTTGAGTTGTTCACAAGGGTAATGATGGCTTGCCATCTTTGTCAAATGCATGGGATGGCTTTGTTATGAGTTAATTATGGTTATATTCATCAACACGTGTAAGTGTTCATAAATAATAGTTAGGATATACATTTATGTTAAAGTGGAGAGCAAAAATATCTTCAAGAAACAATTGATTTTGTGCATGAAATGTCTCAACAGCCGCTCGGCTGAAAAAGTGTCCTCACATGCATTGCTTCTCTCTCCTCCAAGGATCAAATTTTGGACAGTGCAGATCATTTCTTTGAGCAAATCAACGGCCGTAATATTTGAGAAGATTTCAAATTGTTATTTGAATTGAATGGTAATCAGTGAACTAAATGAAAACAAGTCTACTGAATTTCCATGAAAAGAGAGAGAAAGATTAAAGCTGGAGGAGGGTGGAAGGAAGGGGGAGAGAGAGAGAGACTGACAAAGGATTGTTCCTTGCAGTTTCTGATTTCTTTCTTACTATTTGTAAGGTGCTGAGCTTTTGTTTGTGTGCATGCAATCCTTCAACTCTTCTATAAATAATACAACTAGAGTCTTAGCATACACACAGTACATGAAAACAAGATGACATACCACGCATGCAGAATGAATTGACTTCAAATGTTTTTTGGATGGAATGAATTGACTAACAAATACAAACACAAACACAAGACCAAATTGGCCAAATTGGTAACAACTGTCACTTTATTTTCAGTATAAAGTAGATGAAAACGAGTCTACTGAATTTCCATGAAAGAGAAAGAAAGAAAAAGGCTGAAACGAGTCTACTGAATTTCCATGAAAGAGAGAGAAAGAAAAAAGCTGGATGGAGACTTAACACTAAGACTAACAATGGATGGTTCCTCGCAGTTTCAGAGAAGACTGACTGAAGGTGATCAAATTTTCTTTTTTACTATTTTGTAAGATGCTGAAGTTTTATCCCAACTCTTCTATAAATAGTATATACGAATTCTTGATCTACTCAATACAAATGTGGTAAGAGTAGCATTATTCATACATAAAAGTATTTTTCACTGCTTTTACAAGCTATAAATTAGATATCTCACAACATTTATATGTTTGTTCCATTTACAGACGGTTTCAGACTCAATTAGAAAGCTACTTTAAGATCTAGCGCCGCAACCACTCCACTCCTTTGCATATCAAGAACAACGATTCAAGTCCAATAATCCAGGTATCCATCTAGATTTCTTCTTTCGGCTAAGGTCTCTTTCTCTTTGATCTTATTTGTGTGCAAGAGAAACTGAGGTTATGAGATTCCTCTGCATCTGTATAGAAATTTTCGCATGCTCAAAAGTATTAATTTAGTTCATGTCTATCTGTTAGTTCATAACCTCTGTATTAGGCATGCTGATAACTTTAACCAACTACTGTAAGGGTATATTGCATTAAATTCCTTATTGTTTGTCTTATAAATAGTTAATTAGGTTGATTGCAGCATGATATTGAGTGTCAACTAAGAGTACCAAAATTACACACCCATTCGATTCGATCATCATACCATCTACATTTTTGTTACTGTTCTTATTTTGCTTAATTTTTGTACTTTGTTTTAAGAATAAGTAACGATTGGGGATTTCTACCAAAACAGAGTTTGTAAGCCTTACTCCGAGTCATGAGCCCAATGCTGCTGAAGTTCTCCGGAATATCTTGAGTTTCGGGTTCAGCCTACTATCCCCCAACGACCAGCAAGACAAGATTGAACAAATCTCCGAAAAACTTGCTGCTGGAGTTGCTGATGTCGAAAGACTTGAAGGGGAAACAGAGGAAGATTTGAGAAGGAAACAATTCGCTGAGCTGCTTAATAAAGCTCCGGTCCATACACAAGTTGATTTATTCGGGGAGTTTACGTACAAATTCAACGATGAAAAACACTTACGTGAGGCGATTCTTTTGTTCAGGCAACTGGATTCCAATGAGCAACAAAAAACGATTGAAGAAATGCTTCGTCAATTGGTGCCAGAGGAACCCTTTCTGTGCTGTTTTATATACATCCTCATTCAGAACAAAAAAAAAGAAAGGAAACATTTGAAACTCAAGAGACTCTCCGAGGAAAGCGAGGAGGATTTTAGGCTCAGAAGATTCATAAAGCTGTGTAGTAGATACAGCGGCCTTATGCTGACCTTCATATGGAATGAACCTAAGAAGTGGGATCTAGATGCTCTACTTATGCAGGCATCAGGTAACGAAGAGATAGAAGAAATCAAACAGTCCCGCTATGCTGAATATTACTTGGGGCTGTCAATTATTTGGTTCAAAGCACGATGGGCCAGTGATCCAGAAGGCCTCATTCATTTAATTATTAGTAAAGTTGGAGAAGGTGATCATATCATTGAGAAACTCGTCAATGAGACTGAGGAGGATTTTCGGCTCAGGAGATTTACGGAGTCGTTTAAACAACTTCAATTCAGTTCCCAGGAGAAGATTGTGGAACGTATTCAAGATATCATAATTTATGATCCAGGTGTTTCTGTATGGAAACCTTGCGCAGGTCGGAAGACAGAAGAGGAGTTTGCTCTTGAATTCATAAAGTTGAAAACTCCAAATCCAAGAGGAGCAGGAGGAGCATCAGCCACTCAAGGAGGAGGACAGGGAGCAATTACACAGGGAGGAGGGCAGGGAGCAAATACACAAGGAGGCCAGGGGACAAGCCAACAGTAGATGATTTGAAGCCATGCACTTAGCAAAGAAGCGGCTTTCAAATAACAATATTCAGAAGATGTGGTCAATTCATAAAAGGAGATGGAGTTGCACTACTCCTTCATGAGTTTGCCCCGTCTCGCCAGCTTGTGCGTTTTGTTACTCGTCTTGTTTTTTTGTTTTCTAAATAAAGAGGTCTGCTGAATCAGCCTACCAGGATTAGCAAATCAAACTAAACCATCAACACATGTAAATAAAGAAAATGGTTCCTTGTAATTTCAAAGAAGGTTGAAGGTCAAAATTTATTTTTACCCTCTGTGGGGTTCTGAATTTTTTTGACTCTTTAATAGATGAACTGCGTAATTGAAAATTTGCGTATAGTTCGTTATTGTTTATTAATATTGTACTTCCTCTAGGAACAAGTTACGGCCAGAGCTTTCTCCGATCAAAACCCAAGTTTGTAAGCCATTCTTGATCACATGGATTATTCGTCAAAGTTCGAACTTCCCAAATCAGCACTTGATCAGCCCATCAACAGTTGTAGTACTGATCATGTTGATGATGGTGGTGAATTAGTCCTATGCCTTTCAATCTTCGGATTCAGCCAACTCTCTGTCACGGATCAAGATGAGAGGACGAAAGAAATCCACAATAAAGTAGGTGAAGATGTTACAGTGGAGCAACTCCCAGAGGAAACTGAAGACGGTTTCAGACTCAGAACATTTACAGAGCTCTTCAACAAACTCCCCTTCCCTGACCAGGCGCTTTTCCTTTCCACAGTTATATAGAAATTCATGAGTGAAAGGCGATTTGAAGAGCTAATTTTTGTGTTCAAAACTCAACTAGATGTCAATGATCAACAACAACAGATTGGACAAGTACTGGATCATTTTATAGTTGACAATATCCAGCATGCCCCTGAGGAAACATAATCAGAACATGACTGCTTAAGCTGATGGTCTCCGAATAGCACTCTATTATTTCTTCTTCCATTGCTGCTTCCACCTGCCGATAGTGATCAAGTGTTGGGCCGTTTGGAACAAGTAGATCATGAACAAATCTCCTTTTATGTTGCTGTATCATCTCCAAATGTTGATCACCATAGTGATATGGACCACAGGAGACAATATGGGGCTGGTAAGTCTTCTTGTTTATTTCCACAAGGCATTGACGTACCTTGAAGATGCAACAAGATTCGTTTCGATGACTGCATCATCTCTTCCTCCATTAGCTGTTGGTGAGCTTGATTGTGAGTTCGTTATTATAGCTCTAAAGAAGAGAGGATTATTTTAGCTAATGAAGTTGAATGAATAATAGATGAAGTTAAATGAAATCTGCCGCTAAAGAATTAACTTTCGAGACGAAGAGACAGGACAAACCTTGGTGGACTATTCTATCTTCTTTTCCATCATACCCGTACTCCATCCGTACATTGACGTGACCAAGCTGTAGTTCAGCTTCACGTGACTCTGCCTGAGCCATCCAATAACAGGGGTACTAATACGATTTGTGCTTTTTAGTGCCAAGGGCGCAATTATTTGTGCTCTTTAGTGCAAGGGACACAATTACTCGTGCTTTTTATATTAATAGTCACAGGGCAATTACAATAAAAGTAAATTTAGGTTTTAACCACACAAAAATTTTTACTTTTAGAAAAAGTCAAAACAATTTCAAAAATAACAGGAAAACCCCTTAACTTTCAAACTAAAGACATGCAAATGTAAAGGATTCTTTAAGAAATCCAAAAATAATAAGGGCATTTTTGTTCATTTCGGCTTCTTTTAAAAATATTTCTCTTCTTTGGCATTTTTCAAAATGTCCCCACAATAAATTGGTCGGTTTCCTTTATAGGAATTTCAATTGCTCATAACACACAATTTTACTTTTACCGTGTCCTTTGCTTAATACTTTTGAGCACGAAAGTATCAGATTTGATTTCACTGTTTTACATGAACACCAATTATTCATTCGTGTCCAAAGTATGTATTAATGAAAATAAAATTGATATGTAAATAAAGAAAATGGTTCCTTGTAATTTCAAAGAAGTTTGAAGGCCAAGTATTCTTTTTACCCTTAGGGTTCTGAATAGTTGTGAGCCTGCAGTCCTTAAACTCTCTATAAATACAATACAAAGTAGTTTATAATTAGGAAAATAGAAGAAAGAAACAAGAAGAGTTAGGATTACCAAGTCAAACTAAATCATCAGGATTAAGTTAAGTGACACAAGACCTAATACCAAGATCATCAGAATTAAGTCAAGTGACGCAGGCATGGCTGAACGAATCCATGATATGAGCTTTTCACCTACATTCAGAAGGACTTAAAATTATAAAATTAAGCGACGCCTATTGAAACTCATTACAAAGAAACTCCCGCTTTCTAAGGACGTAAACAAAAACAAGTAAATGAAAGATATGCATCCATGATCATCATTAGCTCTAATGAGTGCTTCTAATACATTTTGGTGATCCTAACATCACATTATTGCTAGTACATACTCTAGTGCTTCTTCAGTTCCGGTGGAAGGGCATATTCATAAACAGCACAGAAGGCCTGAATTGCAGTGAGTAGTAGGATTATAACAGCAGCTAAAGCAGACAAGAAAGACCATGGAGTACCAAAATACTTGAATCTAAAACCTTCCCATCTCACATGCCACATATTTCTATGGTACTCATTCACGTCCTTGAACAACTTCCATAGATAACCCTCGCCAATATCTAAAGGCACATCTTTGCCAAGGTTTTTGAAGAAATGAACAACCTCCTCATCAGTTCCAAGATAATTCTCCACAATTTTCTTGTCGCAGAGAAATGATACGTCTGCAGGCGTGCGGATCAGACAACTCATGAATGCAGCATAAGTTGTGAAATGCTTTGAGCGATGAGTGTAGCATTGTTCAAATGCTACAAAATTCATCAATAAATCAGTACATAGATCGTCGAGTACTATGTGTGGAATTTCCAGCAGTCCATTGCAAAATCTAATGTCTATGAAGGTCATTGCCTCCCTTGTCTTGAACTTAATTCCAGCTAGACGAAGCTTTTCGGCTGATTGGATCGATTCGATCTGCGGACGAGGCTTCTCTTGAGGTGAATGATCATAGGGTTTAGGGATAAAACTCCAGCGAAGTAAATCGAGTAAATGTTTTACTTCACCAGCAGCACTGAAATCCTGATCTAACACTTGATCAGGTCTTTGAAATGCATAGTTAAAGAATTGCAAGGCAAGTTTGGAAAGGGATGATGAGTCACTATTTCCTCTTGAAGCTTTTGATTCATCAAATAATTTTTGAAGAAGGGAAAAAGGAAATTGGTTCTCCAAACGAAAAAGATCTCGTATGATATTAGCGAATAGAAATTTCAAGTCAAAGATGGGGTCGTATTGATCATGATCATGACTTGGTGCTGGTGGAAATCTTTTAAGTTTGTAAAAGAGTTGAATAGTGAAGAGACCATCCAACACCATCATCTCAACTAGACCATCACTGCTTAAGCTGATGGTTTCCGAATAGCACCCTCTTATTTCTTCTTCCATTGCTGCTACCACCTGCCGATAATGATCAAGTGTTGGGCCGTTTGAAGGTGTTCGAGCAAGTAGATCGCGAAGATATTTCCATTTGTGTTGCTGTATCATCTCCAAATGTTGATCACCATAGTGATATGGACCACAGGAGACAATATGGGGCTGGTAAGTCTTCTTGTTTATTTCCACAAGGCATTGACGTACCTTGAAGATGCAACAAGATTCGTTTCGCCATCTTGTTTCCTGGATTCTTTGGTCCAATGGTGTCGTCTGGATATTGGTTGTCGCTGCAATTGTGATGACAGCATGATCTCTTCCTCCATTAGCTGTTGGTGAGCTTGATTGTGAGTTCATTATTGTAGCTCTAAAGAAGAGAGGATTATTTTAGCTAATGAAGTTGAATGAAAAATAGATGAAGTTAAATGAAATCTGCCACTAAAGAATTAACTTTCGACTTCGAGACGAAGAGACAGGACAAACCTAGCAGCAGATTGAAATTAAGTAGTCGACATTTGGTGGACCATTCCATCTTCATTTCCATCGTACCCGTACTCCGTCCGTACATTGATGTGACAAAGCTATAGTTCAGCTGCACGTGACTCTGCCAGAGCCATGGGTTATATGATTTGTACTCTTTAGTGCCAAAGGCGCAATTATTTGTGCTCTTTAGTGCGAAGGACACAATTATTCGTGTTTTATATTAATAGTGTGAGTTCATTACAAATGTCGCTGCAATTGTGATGACAGCATGATCTCTTCCTCCATTAGCTGTTGGTGAGCTTGATTGTGAGTTCATTATTGTAGCTCTAAAGAAGAGAGGATTATTTTTGCTAACGAAGTTGAATGAAAAATAGATGAAGTAGTCGAATGAAATCTGCCACTAAAGAATTAACTTTGGAGACGAAGAGACAGGACAAACCTTGGTGGACCATCATCTTCTTTTCCATCATACCCATACTCCATCCGTAGATTGACGTGACCAAGCCATAGCTCAGCTTCACGTGACTCTGCCTGAGCCATCCAATAACAGTTTCCGTCACTACCACAATATCTAGCTATTGTGGATGGGGATGGCATAATCTCATGCACAAGAATCAATTGAGGGCTGCCTGAATCACTTTTCAGAATCAAATTGAAGGCTGAATGCTCAAGAAAGCTGTGGTACCTACTTCTTATAAACCTCTTGCACTTGTTAATTTCTTCTTCTTTTAAATATTTTTTTTTTTCAAGTAATGTGTTTGCATTAGATATCTTAGAGAAACAAGCTCAAAAAATTTCAGGTAAGATTCAGATTAAACCGAGTTTATTTATTTGTATCTGTCTTACACGAAAAGGCACTTAAAATAATGCTCGACTTACCACATTTGTTATTTTTGTACTTGTTTTAGGACTAACGACTAAGGATTTCTACGAAACCAGAGTTTGCAAGTCTTTCTCCGCGTCGATTATCAATGTTTGTGTTCCCAAAACCAGCCCATGACCCCAATACCAGTTCTGCTGATGCTGCGGATGATGCTGAACTACTCTTGAGTCTTTCAATCTTTGGGTTCAGCCAACTCTCTGTTTCTGATCGACATGAGAAGACGAAAGAAATCTATAAAAAAGTAGTTGAAGATGTTATAGTGGAGCAACTCTCGGACGAAAGTAAAGAGGATTTCAGACCCAGAACATTCACCGAGCTATTCAAGAAACTTCCCTTCCCTGACCAGAACCATTTCCTGTCCACAGTTATAAAGAAATTCAAGCGCCAGAGGCAAATTGGCGAGTTGATTTCTTGGTTTACTACCGAACTAGACGCCAATGATCAACAACAACTGATTGGAAAATTGATTCATGTCAAAGCTGATGACGAAACCAATGACGGTTTCAGGCTGAGAAGATTTACTCGGCTTTGTAAGGATTATACTGACTACGTTTATATGCATTTTGTCGCCTGCAGGGAAGAATATGGCACGAAACCAAAACATACACAGCAGACATCCGGTACTCATGAAGGTGGGTTAGATTGGCAGTCCCGTTTTAATGAGTTTTTCTTAGGTTTCTCAATTATATGGTTCAAGGGACAAAGCTCCCATGGTCAATGGCAGCTGATTGACCAACTCTGTGATGGAGTTAAAGGTGTTATGGTTGAGAAGCTTGCAGACGAAAGCGACGCAGATTTCAAACTCAGAAGATTCACAGAGCTATGTAAGAACGTGGTTGACTTTGGTGTCCAAGTCCACTTCCTTGACAAAGCTGAAGAGCATCTGCTGCACAAACGAAGAGATCTTCCTCACGGGGTGCTCGTTCAGCCCCAAGATTCTGCCAGTGCTGCCGAATTACTCTCGCAGCTTTCGAGTTTTGGGTTCAGCCTACTATCCCCCAACGACCAACAAGACAAGATTGAACACATCTCTAACGAACTTGCTGCCCAAGGTGTTAATAATAATATTGTCGAAAGACTTGCAGGGGAAACAGAGGAAGATTTGAGAAGGAAAACATTCGCAAAGCTGTTTAATAAAGCTCCGATGGCTACACGAGTTCATTTATTCGAGGGGTTTACTGAAAAATTCTTTGTTGAAAGACGCTTATGCGATTCGATTCTTTTGTTCAGGCAATTGGATTCCAAGGAGCAACAAGAAAAGATTGAAAGTATGCTTGATCAGTTCATGAGGTGGGAAGGCGAAGATGTCAAAGATGTCATACTCGAGAGACTGCCCGAGGAATGCGATGAGAATTTTAGGCTCAGAAGATTTATTAAGCTGGGTAGCACATATACATTCCTTTTGGATCACTTCATATGGGATGAAGCAGAGAAGTGGGATCTAAAAGGTTTACGTATGCAGATGTCTGGTAAAGAAGAGATAGAAGAAATCAAGCAGTCCCGCTATGCTGAATTTTACTTGGGATTGTCAATTATTTGGTTCAAAGCAATATGTGCCAGTGATCCGAGAAACATCATTCAAGTATTTTTTGGTAAAATTGGAGGAGGAGGTGATCATACAATTGAGAAACTCGTCAACGAGACTGAGGAGGATTTCCGGCTCAGAAGATTTACAGAGTCGTTTAAACAACTTCAATTCAGTTCCCAGGAGGATATTGTGAAATGTATTCAAACGACACTATTGCATGATCTAGGTGTTGGTGTTAAATTCATTGTCATGGGAACTCCAAATCTAAGAGGATCAGGAGGAGTAACAGCCGCTCAAGGAGGAGGACGGGGACAAGCCAACAGTAGATGATTTGCAGCCACATGCACTTGGGAAAGAAGCCTTCAAATGATAATTCAAAAGATGTGGTCAATTCCATGCATGTAGCAGCACTACTCTTCTTTATTAGTTTGCTCTGTCACGCCAGCATGTGTTTTATTTTCGTATGCAATATTGCGTTACTCTTTCTTGTTTCTTGATGAGACGAGAAATGCAAAATGTCTATTATGTGTGTTTCCTAATTTCAATGGGATATGACAGCTTTTTGTAATTTATGCACTGAAAGCCTATATTGGTATACTAGTCAATGAGGTTCGCCACCAAAGCGGCTCCGAACATCTATCAGGGTGGACGCGGTCCGATTTTAATTAGCTAAAATGATGGGAGAAACCAAACCAAACCATAAGGTATCTCCATGACTATGTTGAAAATTTTGAAAGGATTGTTTTTGCTCTATCGTGATGCAAACTATGAAATGGTACATTAATCAAGTTGTACTAATGTTTTGGCTTGAGGGTACTTGCTTCATCCTTCTTCTTCTTTTTTATTATTTTTTTATTATTTAAGGATATTTCATATTAAGAGTGGTGATAGCAAACTAAACTCACATACACTACACGGATGTTAGAACTTGAACCCAAAACCTTATCTAGATGAGCAATTACTCCAAATCACTACACTAGTGAGTCATTTGCGCTTCATCCTTGTTTTTAAAAAGGGATATGAGGTACTATTAAGCCCAAAAGCCATTGCCAAATAATTATACAAAACCCGCTAATTAAAGTAAATATATGACACCTAAGACCTAATACAAGTAATAATTGTTCCAATTGGATCTCTCTATTCATTTCCATTTCCACTGGCCTACAATCAAAGCTCATAGCTAAGTCAGGAGTGGCACTATCAAGATCCAAATTGGATAGGCCTGCAATCTATTGATGAAAATTATGTCCACAGTCCACACCATGCAGTACAATTACCTGCGCATTTAATTTGATCAAATTTTATCAGTGTTCTTTCTTCTAAATGCAGGTGGAGACATATTCTTGTTCCATAATGCTATTCCAGTTCAATTTATTTTAAAGGTGGTCATCTGTATACTTTTCATGCTAAATAAAAGACCTAGAGCATTGTGGATTGGTTGGATTCCCTTTTTACTCACGACATCCAGTCATCCACATATGACGTACTTTAGCAACAATGACTTGTTAGAGTTTGTATAGGAAAAAATACACTTACATTTAGTCCCACATTGGAAGGGAGTCGTTTTCTTTCATAATTTATAAGCACTAACACTTTAGAAATACTAAATAGGGTATGGGCCTATTTGGGGGAAAGTTGAGCTTCATCATGATTTGGGCTTGGAATACATATATATTTTTGGGTCTTGAGCTTGGGCCTTTTGCTCTATTGATTTAATTAATAATTTTTTTATTAATTAGAAATTCGTTTTTTCAGATAAAATCAAAATATGAAATTCGAATCTATTAAACAATTAATGTAACTGTTGGATGAAGAGATGTCAGACCTCTATATATTGACAATTCGTCCAAACCAAAAAGAACAACTTTGAACAGCATTATCATTCTCATACATAAGCACTTCCTGAGAGAAATTATATCATTGTTCGCTAAAAATCAAAGCCACAATGCTTAGGCTTTGATTTGTGATAATTTAATCCAGGTGGACAGACTCTTATTGAACTACAAGCACAACAGTAGAGGAAAAATACTGTCTAAAGAACATTGCAACTCTGCAGGACTCTATCTTTAATCCAAGTCAATATTCTGTATTTTATTTTACTGTTGTATTGATTTGATTATATATATATATAAAGCATATTTCATTTTTATTATGTTATGTGGTTTTATACTGATTGTTCTTCAACATGACGATTGTTCTTCAACATGACCTACTGTAGCAAAGGCATGGACTCTTTTTTATTTTTTTTTATTTTTTTGGTTAGACCACTCTTTTTTATTTTGATTGCCCTCTAAACATATTAATCCTGACTAAGAAAAAAAAAATATGTGTTTGGACGAAAATTAGCTCAGTCCAATTTCTACAATTAATGGGCTGATTTTATGAACAGTTGAAGCCCAATTACCTAAGTGAGTTGTCAAAAAAATCAGGGCTCGACAAAATTTATGTTCGAAAGGCTAAAAG